TGGGGTCATATAATCGCCTTGTGTGACCTTTTGACAAAATATAAAATTTTTAATCAAGCCGCCGCCGCCCGCCACCCCCCACCCCCCCGGTCAATGGTGTCCCTCTTTACCAATCTGAAAATCTGGTCACCTTAGGCTATGCGGAAGGCATATCTGCACTCTAATTTTATATCTGCACTCTAATTTTATTTTATTTATTCACCAGTTTTAAGAGTAATACAACTTTACAAAGCCTGGAAGAGAAGGCAAAAATATTTCAATAATCCTGATACCTATCAGTCAAAGGGACATAGTGTATACACATATGTTTATGTGCATGAATGTATGTTTGTTCCTCAAGCACGTGTTTTTTAAAAAAGCTGTTAAGCAATGGTTTTAAAGTACGGATGAATAAATGAGGCCCCAGCAGCATTTGGCACAAGGAGAGAAAAGTCTTGCCTTAACCCTAAATCAAAATATATGTTGAAACAATTTCCATAGGTTTAATAAAGCAATAACCTAGACTTTTAAGTGTGGGAACAGAAGTAATTTACTCTTAAATCATTACCCACAAATGATTAAAATCCAGGAGATAATTAGGGCCTTTTCTAGATTTGTGAATAAAGTGGAAAAAAATTGTCACCTTAATTACAATTCACAATTCCCACTTATTGGGGTGGGGGAAAACAAACAATTGTAGAAAGTTAGCACCCACTCTTACTAGAAGAATGAAATATTTTAGGAAATATTAAATAGGTAGAATATTGCATTTCCCCCTAAAAGAGAAATAGAAATCTTAAGGGAGACAGAAACTCAGAGCTTCAGCTCCCTGCTCTTGGAAAATATTTGGTGCCCATTGAGAAGGACTGGGCCAGCCTATCTACAAAACAAAATACCTTTAGTTTCAGAGTGATGGGATTAAGACATGACTCTCCAGGACATAATAGGATTATCTAGCAGCAGGGCTCACTGCATTGCAAAATCACCCGAGGACATTGCATCACCCTCCAGACTTCAACCACTTGACTCAGACAAACATGACCCCCACATGGCCCCCTGGGAATCTGACTAGAGCCAATAGAATACATTTCTTGCACAGGAACAGGAAGCTCAAGGGCAAGGCCCAAGAGGGGATATAAATAACCCTCACTCTCCACTCCATATAGTCAGCTGCACCAGGACCATGTGCTTGATGGTTCTGTTCACCATTAAACCATCTTTTCAATCAGCCTTCATATTTCCAGTTCTTTCTCCCTGCTTGGAACTGAACCAGATGGATATTTCTTCTAACAATATCATGACATTGAAATTTTACCATGTTGTTGCTAGATTGGTATTCATAATGGCGATGGGCCATCTATTCCTGATCTTACAAGATGTTTGCCACAGACAGGAATACAGGGAGAGAATGAACTATGTTAAACACTTTCTATAATGTTTTTTGTCACTACAAAAACAAATAATAGTTTCTTCCTGTTTCCCCAAAAGAACAACTGGACTTTCTTGCTTTATTCTTTGGAAATTGAAAATCCAGAGAAATCCAAAATTGGAAATCCACGAAGCTTCTTCAGTTCTGACTGACTTCTTTGCAGTCATCTGGCTGTTAGTTCTTTGAGAATCATTGAGGCTATTTGTGGGTTTTTCTGTGTCCTCAGGGTCACCTGAATCAGAGTGTAAATGGGTATGGGACCTTCTTGGAACTTCTGAAAAGACTCCATTGTAAACAGGAGATAGGTAGGGTTGTATCCCACAACTTCTTGGTTAAGAAGTGAAACATTTTCAAAGAAAAATAGGTTCATTTGCCTTTTGGGACAAAAAGCACCTTTGAAACAACCATGACCTGGATGATTGAGAATTCCCATAGATATTTTATTATTGCTTCTTACTCTTTTGCACTTTGCAAAAAAATGCTTATCCTGAAAGCATGCTAGCATGAATGCATATATATTTATTTTAAAAAGTTGGATGAAAATTTGAGTATTAGGGTAAGAGTTTGAAGACAAGAGGGATTCTATAAAGTTTTTAAAAACGAAAACTAGAAGGATGGTGCAGCTTTGGCAGGAAATGTGAGAGAAGGAACTGGGAACGTTTTTAGCTTCTTAGGGCGAGGAATAGCGGAATCCCTGTTGCTTTCAGCTAAGCTAACAAATCCCACTGAGAATCATACACTGGAAAACAACAACATATTCAAGAACAAAGCACCATGGAAAGAAAAATAAATAAAGCTTTATTTTATTTATCCTCTCTTCTCCTCGTCCAGAGGAAAGTGTTTTTTTTTTTTAACCACTGGTCTTTTTAACAAGCTTTAAATAAATTTTAAGAAACTCAACAAAGAACAAGTCAAAACGACAATGATACCTGCAGGTACATAAAGCAAATAAAATAGTACAAGGTCATTGCAAGCCAAAATTTGAGTGCCAGATTTTAATTTTTGTTTATTCTTCCCATCAAAACCTCCCAAATATTGGATTTTTAAAAAAACAGATAATTCCTTGTAAGGTTATTTTCCTAAGTTGTGACTATCCAGGCCAATTCAGAATAGTTAGCAAATATGTAAGACATGAACTCTATATGTAGATGTGTTCCAAACTTCATAAAGGTCTGTTCCTCTATATTATACTTCACCTGTAGTTGTATGTTAGTCCGTTATTCTGTTCTTTTACAATACTTCTGAAATAGATACCATGTTTCCCCAAAAATAAGAGAGGTTTCTTTTGACCCCCGAAATAAGCGCTTGGCCTTATTTTCAGGGAAATGTTCTTATTTTTGAGGTGCAGGAGGCAGTGAGCATGGTCACCTCATGGCTGCTGCCATGTTGCAATATTTTCAGGGGGGGGCTTATTTGGGGGGGAGGGATTATTTTAGCACATGCTGTCAAAAGCCCGATTGGGCTTATTATCCAGGGAGGTTTTATTTTCAGGGAAAAGTGGTATTATAAGTAGTCTTGAATTTACCATCACAATTGGGATTGGAACTTTTGTTACAAAGTGATGTGGCTGTTAAGTAACTTAAGTGAGTTGTGCCCAACCTTTTTTGCCATTGTCATTAAGTGAAACACTGCAGTTATTAAGTGAATCATGACTTTTAAGTGAATTCATCTCTCCCCCCCTTAACTTTGTTTGCCAGAATCCAGCTGGAAAGGTCACAAAATGGGGATTATGTAAATACATGGAAATTGCCAGCTCCCAAATTTTGATCTCATGACCAGAGGGTTGCAGTCATAAAAGCAAGGACTGATCATAAGTCACTTTTTTCAGCATCATCGTAAGTTTGAACAATAAGTACTTACTTCTTGTAATTGGAAGCCTCAAATAATTATGGATAGCAAACTGTAATAACAATATATTAGCACACTAGCTTATATTTTATTTGATGTTGCAGTGTGAAAGATAAAGAGACCGTGTAAAAACATTTGTACTCCATTAAGCTTTGCTTAAGGGATGCGGTAGCCCAGTAGCAAAGACGCTGAGCTTGTTGATCTGTGGGCAGGTTGGCAGTTCGAATCTCTAGCACTGCATAACGGAGTGAGTTCCCGTTACTTGTCCCAGCTTCTGCCAACCTAGCTGTTCAAAAGCATGTAAAAATGCAAGTAGAAAAATAGGAACCACCTTTGGTGGGAAGATAACTGCGTTCCATGCGCCTTTGGCATTTAGTCATGCCGGCCACATGACCACAGAGACATCTTCAGACAGTGCTAGCTCTTGGCTTGAAATGGAGATGAGCACCGCCCCCTAGAGTCGGGAACGACTAGCACATATGGGTGAGAGGAACATTTATCTTTACCTTTTTAAGCTTTGCTTAAACTCACTTAGATTATCAAATGTTCAATTCTTCAGTTCAGTTAGAAGTGTAAAGTATCCAGAAATGCCCATATATACCACCTATATGGGGAGTCTAAGTGTATGTATAACTTTATACAAATACCAACCAGAGATGAAGTTTCATATTGAATGGCCAGGGTCTAGTTTTCTGGCATCCTGATGTTTGTAGGCAGCTGTGGATGATATCTTCAAAATGAGCAACAGCACCAAAAAACTAGACTTGGCTATTCAGCCCAAACCTCATCATTGGTTGATTGACACCAGCTGTAAAACCTAATATTATACAAGTTTGTATATGCATATGCAGACCTATTCTCATAAATTGCAAAAAGCTAGCACAAGTTGAACAGTGATGGAATTCAAAAAAAAATACTATCGATTCTGTGGGTGTGGCTTGTTGGGCGGTATTTACCAGTTCTCCTAACTACTCAAAATTTCTGCTACCGGTTCTCCAGAATTGGTCAGAACCTGTTGAATACCACCTCTGAGGTAGAACCTATAATTACTTTAGTCTTCGGTATGTTACTTTTCAGAACCGTCTGCTTTGTTTCACACTCAGGTCCTGATTGACAAAAAACAATATGCCTGAATTCATATCTTCTACCAATCCATCACCATCACAAACATTCCTTATGCTTTTATTCATAAAGACATTAAATAGAAAAGGATACTTATCTAACCTCCTGTGCAATGTATGTATTGTCAACATGCTTTATTTAAATCATACACCACATGTAGTTGCATATATCAACCAAACTTCAATTCCATACTGTCACAAAAATTCCATACAGGTAGGCCTCAGTTATCAACAGTTTAGTGACCGTTCAAAGTTACAGCAGTATTGAAAAAAGTGACTTATGGCCATTTTTCTTACAATCACTGTGGCATCCCTGTGGATGATCAAAATTCAGATATTTGGCAACTGAATCATATTTTTATGACGGTGGAGGTGCCTTGGGTTTATACGATCATCATCTGTGACTTTCTGACAAGCAATGTCAATTTTTAGGAGTAACATTTTTCAAACCAGCAGAAATAGGTGCAGGAATAAGTACACAAATACACCATCAGCGAACCACATCCATATTTCAATATTTCTTTGGTGTATGATTTTTTTGCAGCCTTCCCGGCTTTCAGCATTCTCACAGCTTTTATAATTTTCCATAAAGTTTTTTCTTAGTCAAAAATATTCTCAGCATTTTTTTCAACTTGATTCTTTGACGTAATCACTATTATCCTGGAACCAATCTCTAAAATATTCGTTTCAGTATTGTCTCAATTCAGTTACACCCACATTACACCTATTCGGTACACCCACGTTACACCTATCCTCTGCGAGCTGCACTGGTTACTGATTGGTCTCCGGATACGCTTCAAGGTGCTAGTCGTCACTTATAAAGCCTTTCATGGTATTGGACCTGGGTACTTGAGAGACCGCCTGCTGCCAATTACCTCCCAAAAACCCATTAGATCACACAGAGTAGGCCTCCTCTGGGTTCCGTCTACCAGCCAATGTCATCTGGCCACTACCCGGGGGAGGGCCTTCTCTGTAGCGACTCCGGCCCTTTGGAACGAACTCCCCGCAGAGATTCGGACCCTCACCTCTCTCCAGGCCTTCCAAAAAGCCGTTAAAACCTGGCTGTGTCGGCAGGCCTGGGGTCGATGAGTTCCCTTCCCCTCTCGAATCGTGTGGATGTTGGTTGTTTTTTAAATGCCCTGTACTTTTGTAGTTTTTGTGTTTTTCCCTTCCCCTCCTTTGGGTTTGTGCGCCGCCCTGAGTCCCGCAGGGAATAGGGTGGCATATAAATAAAATGAAACTCGAAACTCGAAACAGTTGCATCCCAAATCAATTGTTCCCTTATTTTTAAAACCTTCCACTTTAGTGGAGGCAGTTCAGTTTTCCTCACCCACTTTCAGAACAGGTTTTTTTTCATTTCACCAATCCTTACTTTCTGTTATTCGTATTTAGTTTTAACAACATTGAATGATGGACCCACCTGTCTGCTAGGTAGCCGGCGAATATAGATCCAACCAGAAACCCACCATTCACAGCTGACTGAAACATATCTAGCTTCCAGGAATCTCCACAAACCAAGTTAAACTGAGGAGACAAAGAATCAGAAGTAAAATTAGTTCTAATCATTAAGATAGTTAAGTTCAGAGAGAAATCTCCAAGTAAAGGGGAAGCAGATAAAATCAAAATAAACCAGATTCATCCCCACAACCCACCCTGCCAACTGTTTTGCTCCAAATTTAGGAGAACAACTTCAAGTTGTTATTTTTGGTTTTATTCCGCTAAATCAGTGTTTCTCAACCTTGGCAACTTGAAGATGTCTGGACTTCAACTCCAGGCATCTTCAAGTTGCCAAGGTGGAGAAACACTGCACTAAATTATTGTTGAATAGGTCAGACCTTTAGTTTTCTGTTGGGATTCAAGCAATTAAGAAAGACAAAGGAATATACTCTTTAGCAAAATGTATGTATAGATGTATGTATGCATGCATGTATTAATTAATTTTCACCCCTTATCTCATTTGTGTTCTGCCAGAAATATGACTTCTCCTCAAGAGCTGTGGTGACACAGTGGTTATAATGCCATACTGCAGGTTAACTCTATACACAGCCAGGGTTTCATCCTGACTATTTCAATATTGACTCTGCCTTTCATCCTTCCTAGGTCAAGAAAATGAGGACCCAGATTGTTGGGGGCAACAGGCTGACTCTGTAAACTGCTTAGAGAGGGCTGTAAAGCACTGTTAAGCGGTATATAAGTCCAATTGCTTTTGCTATTGTTATACCTATTGGGAAATTTCACTCTGCAAATAAAACAAAAAATGTTCATATAAGCCTTGGGAAGGCCTCACATTCTAGCAGCTACCTTGTGAAAGGCCAGACAAGGCATGCCTTGCCAACTGGGTGAAGAACATGGCAAAGGTCAGTTGGGGGCAGCCGGAATGGCAGAACGAGGGCAGTCAAGAGGCCAAAGATGGTGAGAGGTGGACATTTGAGAGGAAGTGAAGCAGAAGTGAGAGCATCAGGCAGGAGGAGCGAATCACCTAATGACGGCATGGTTCTGTTCTAACAACTGCGATGGAGACTATCAGAATTGAGGTCAGTACATGGTGCAGTCACCTGATTTTTCACTTAATACCTGCTTTGTTTAGTGATAGAAATTGGGACTGTCAGGGAAGAGGTTGCAGAAATGATATCTAGGAGCCGGGGTGAAATCCAGCATGTTCTGACAGGTTCTGGAGAACCAGTAGCGCAGATTTTGAGTAGTTTGGAGAACCGGCAAATGCCACCTCTGGCTGGCCCCAAAGTGGGGTGGGAATGGAGATTTTGCCATATCCTTCCCCCAGGAGTGGGGTGGGAATGGAGATTTTGCAGTATCCTTCCCCTGGCATGCCCACCAAGCCACACCCACCAAGCCACACCCACAGAACCAGTAGTAAAAAAATGAATTTCACCACTGCTAGGAGCTCTGATCCGCAGAAAGGTTAGGCAAGACAAACAGTGCAGAACTAAACTGTAGCAATTGAAGGTCCTCCACTCTTATCTCCAGAGGAGCAAGTCACAGTCCAGGAAATTACTACCACAAGTTCAGAAAACATGTCAACGGGATTTCAAAATGAGTAAATAACAATTCAGCATTTTTAAAAATAACAAGTATCTTTCTTCATAACTATAGAAGATATGGATATCTTCCACAATATTAACACTGGATTATATAACATGCATACATGTAGTCAAGACATTATAGCTGTCTTTAATCCAGTTATCTATCCTGTGGATCCGTTAATGTCATAACCAGTAAATGCTTTCTCATCTTTGATTACCCTCCCCTTATGGATTATGAGTTTTCAAACAAGTATCAGAATAGAGCAGAAATGTGGTATAACGGTATCTGTGAAGACATTGAAGATGGAAAGAGACATGGAAAAAACATCTCTAAACTAATTCCAACCTTGAATTCAGTGAATGACTGCAGTGAAGAGATTACAAATAATTTAAAAGCAATCAAACAAAAATTGAAGGAGTATGTTGAAGAGTACAGTAGAGATATCAACATCCAGAATGCCTGGGAAGATATTCCCTAGTTACAAAAACCTCTAGGACTAGAAGATAAAGTTAGATCAGCTTTCTGGTCATTATCAATTTGGAAGGCTATGGGAAGATATGGAATACCCACTGAGATATAGCAAGCAAAAAAAGAAAAGTTCTAATCAGGTTATGCCAGCAAATTTGGGAGAAAATTGTGGTCAACAAATTGAAAGAAATCAATATACATCCCAATACAAAACAACCCCGAATATACAATCTGTCATATAAAATTCTTAATTTCACATGCTAGCAAATAGTGCTTGGCTTCACCCAACACAACGTAGAGCATTTTAAGGCCATTCACTCCCTCTCAGCTTTAAGAAGCAAGCAGTAATAAAGCATTTCCAAATCTTGTAACCAAACTGTATGTATTAGTCCAGGCAATCACTGGGAGTAAACATTGAATCAAAGCACATGTACGCATGTGCGTGCACAAAAATGGAGAGAGAGATAAATCAGTTTAGATTTGCACATTATAATGTTTACAAAGTCTGAGGAAGCATATTCTAGAATTCTTTGTAGAAGCCATGGGAGAAATACATTTACTTTCTTGCTGAATAAATCCAAGTGGAAAAACATGACACATGGCATATATTTTAAAAAAACAAAATCTTATGTTATATTTGAATATTTTAAACAACTGCAAGACCTTACCTCAGTCCCAATGGACAAGATTGAAGCATCATAAAGCCAGCCATCTTGACAAGTGGTCAGAAGAAGGCTCCTGTTCTCTAGTCTGGTAAAGTCTTCCAGGGGATTTGTACAGCTCAGCCCACTTTCATTCCAGTTGACATTGTATCTCATACATTGAGGGGTGAAAGTATCCTCGTTGGATGTCCCTTTGGGAACGGTGTGATTCAGTTCATCTTCAAGAGTCCAGCCACACCGGTTGCTTAATTCAGCAACTCCTGGAGTCCGACAACGGTGCTCAGGTGTATACCCTAGGAAAACAACTCCTACGTAGACTGGGGCAAAGAGAACTGAGAGAAAGCAAATGAGAAAAAAGATCCTTTTCTGGAAGAAGTCAAATTCCCCAATGTGTTCCAAAAGATCATCAAAGTCAGGCATTTTGGATGAAGGCTGAGTCAATTGCAATCCAGTATTTAATTGTACTGAAAAGAGATGTGCTTATACAACAAGGCATTTAGCCCCAAGATAAAGAGTTAATTTATGAATGATTAAGCCATCCATTGCAATGTTTATAGATGTTTCACCAGAGGGAAGATCATCTCAGTAAGCATCAAATATCTTTAGTGGCTTGTTTGACTTATTTAGCAGACAACCAGGTTGGTTATAAGCTTCTATGAAGTTTTCCAGAAATCATGATTTCTCTGGCTTGTTGTGGGTGAAAAATCAACTGGAACCAAGTGAACAATCTGAATTTATTCATCAAGGCAAATATCAGTGTGAACACCAGTAGTGCACTCAACAAACCTCTGGTGGAGGGTAAAGTCTCTTTCTCCTGCTTTCCTAGAATATTTATCCAGTGTTGGAGGCTCTTGTATAATCACGTACTCTGCATTCCATAGTACATTTATTCAAATGCTGTCCCTAATTTACCCTGTAATGAATATTCTAGGAAAAATCCATCATGCGATAGACTGGCAATCTGGAGAGAGGTACAATGACTCTATTACAATTTGACTTTCACAGCTATTCAACAGAGCTATCAGCTACTTGTTAATACTCTAGATTAGTACAATTTTACAATAATACTACTTTCTTATTATTTTTTAAAAGTCCAAACAATGTATACACAAATCACATACATATTATATAATATGGACACTATGTGAGTGTATATCTGTGTATACATAGGTAAAGGTTTCCCTCCCACATATGTGCTTATCGTTTCTGACTCTAGGGAGTGGTGCTCATCTTTGTTTCAAAACCAAAGAGCCAGCGCTGTCCAAAGATGTCACCATGATCACTTGGTCGGCATGACTAAACACCAAAGGTGCACAGAACACTGTTCCTCCCAAAGGTGGTTCCTATTTTTCTACATGCATTTTTACATGCTTTCGAACTGTTAGGTTGGAAGAAACTGGGACAAGTAACGGGAGCTTACTCTGTTATGCAGCACTAGGGACTCGAACCATCAAATTGCTGACCTTTCTGATCGACAAGCCCAGCGTCTTAGCTACTGAGCCACCACATCGCTTCTGTGTATACATACACATACACATATTTCTTAATAAGGAAGTGTGTTATCCTAATTGATCCAGGGATCTTCTAACTTCTGAAATACCTAAGTCAACAAAGACATAATGGATCTCCATTGCTTAATTTCCAACATTTTTATTTAGCACCTGCTAACAATCTAAATAATACAATTTGAATTTCTATAATCAGAATCTTGCTACCACAGCAGTATTAATACTTTTTCCTAAAACTTATCTTCATTTTTCATTAACTATTGCAGAATTGAGCACTCCTCTAAAAAAACTTTCCTATTTCATTTATTCATACATATATTTCAAAACAATGTTTTCCCACTTAATAACAGTTTAATATAATTTTACTAATTAAACACATGTTTACGTTATTTTAAAAATGAATATATAGCTTACCCGATTTTCATTTATGCCCATTTGTAGCCATGAATAATCGATACTGCAACTTTTTCACCCCTTATAAACATTTTTCAAATGTAGCAGTCAGTTTTGTGTTGTTTTTCACATAGACAATATCCAGATTGGCATATTTGTTTCTTTGACACTAATTCCACAAAACACACCATTTGTTTGTTTATTGCATTTGCATCCTGTCCTAACTGCTAAGATCCCCAGACATTTACAACTAAAATCCAGTGAAGTAAACAGTAAGTAAAGCAAAAGTAAAATCATCATCATCATCATAAGGAATTGAACAGTGTCTTCATTAGATTGCATTTGCCCAAACTATATCAGCTCATTCAGACAGTTTAGGGGAATTGAACTGGTAGCTAAGAGCCCTGGGAAAGCAGACGGCTCCCATTTATGCCTTTTAAAATTTTCTCCCAAATTCTGAAAAACAGTCCCAATTCATGCTTTTGAATTGCTACATTTTGGTACTGTAATGTGGGGAAGTTAAAAAAAAAAGATTGGGGCATGTTTTAGGTGCAGAAATGGGAATGATTGTTTTGTGAGGCATCCTGACCTCATTTTATCTTTTATTTTTGGAAACAAAATAAGCTATTTTGCCATAATTTTCACCTCTCAGGGTATTGAGGGGGCTGCACATAGGTTGTACACCCCTCATTCAATGTCTCAATTTTCACTTTATTCCCAGTAATGTCTTATTTTTAAAAATTGATTGTTTACCACTTGTTTTTTTATCATGAATGGTTGATAAACTCTTAATAGAAAGTCACTGGAAGGGACATTCCTTGAAAGACTGCAATCCTGCCTCCCCTAGCTGCCTTGCCTTTAAGTCAAAGATGCTCAGTTCTTTTAAACAATCGTCATAGGATTTTGTTTCCAAGTTCTTCACCCCTTTCATCATTCTTCTTTAGGCTGTTACATTGCTTTTTCACTTTATAAAGTAAGAAAAAATAGAACCTCCAATTCTTTTTTTCCTCCAATTAAAGCTGACAAGTGTATTTTTTCAGCTTTTGGTCTCAAAAACAAACCTCCAAGTAAAAATGCAGCACTTACTGATCAGATATCACTTCCTATCCATGTTGAATTATAGTTCTATTAGATTGTATTGCAATATTATACATATAAACCTCAAATTCATCACATGTAATATGTTTATTGGAACTGTTGTGTAAAATGTATAAATCAGAGGTGGGTTGCTCTCAGTTCAGCCTTGACCGGCAGTAAAAATAATAGAAACCCACCACTACTATAAATGTATAATGTATGCAAATGTATGCAAATATACACATCTGTGAGAAGCAGTTTTATGTATATAATTTTGTTGTAATTGTATTTATTCTTTTTCTATTCCTTTTTCTTTATTATTTAGTTGCAATTTAGTTGTAAAAAATAATTTAACTTACAAGAGAGAGAGAGAGAGAGAGAGAGAGAGAGAGAGAGAGAGAGAGAG